TCTCTCAAGCTCATGGTGACCACTCTTCAGCCACAGCCAGGGGGCACCACACAAGATGATCAGAGACCTCACGGATCCAGATAGGTCATCCCACTCTGTGCCTCTACATTTCCCCTACATCTTTTTGTTCTCCTGTTTACAGTACTGCTTACAAGGATGCTGTGGATTGCTCTCATGTGTTTCACTTTTTCACCTCCACTATTTACAAAGCCCCACTTAAAAGGCTGAAAATAAAATTTCTTTATTGATTTGGTCTCTTTTTCCATTTGAAAAACATCGATTTTTTTTTCCTTGTGTTTTTAATGGAGCTTGAAATTAACATGAATCTGTTTGTTCAGATCCCTGTCTGAATTAGTGCAGTTTTAGTAATAAAGTTAGGTAGCTGTTACCTTGGAAACAGAGCTCTGTTTTAGAAAACATTTTAGCAAACATTGGAGCTAAAGAGAACAGAGTAGCAAAATCAAATTCCTCCCTAAGAGATTGGTGGGTGTTGGTATCAGCCAGTACCTTCAGCCCAGAGCGCGCCGCCTGCCTGACAGCAATCCCATAAGAAGTGAGTTAACTCAGGGGCTCTGGCTATTTTACAGTGTTTCAGTTTTTGCAACGGCACTCTTCTTCCCTTCTCCTCTGGTAGCGCGGTGGTGTCAGTCAGCATTAAGGATTCACAGCTCTTCACTATCCCTTAATTGCCGCACTAATCTGAACTCCTTGGCTTAGCTGTGAGATCCTCTAAAGGTGCAGCGGTTCCTGCGGCTCCCCAGCAGTGCAATAGTAAAGGCACCGGGTACAGCTGTCATGGCAAGATGGCCACAGGGAAGCGGCAATTGGTTGCAGGGATATACAACACTGCCACAAACATGCAAGCTGGAACAGCGGCCTGCATACACAGAAATACGAGGCCTTGTCTTCTGCAGAACAGCAGGAGAGAGCCTCAAGACAAAAACGCTGTGTATGTGACAGTTCAGAGTGGTGGTACACACACAAGGTAGAATATACTCTTGCTTGTATACCTATACCACAAGCAAAACTGGAAAAAAAGCTGTCCATATACAACAATATCACTGCACAGAACAAAAGGTGAAGCAGACTGAGTGAGATGTGTTAGGCTCAAACACCTAAAAATTGCTCTTGAAGCGGGCTTGATAAGGTTCATTTTTCTCAGTTTCTTTAGCTTTCAGTTCCATCCAAGTGGTGCACCAGGACAGGACTGTTGCCTTCCTCCCTGCTTTGAAAGATGAATAGTTTTACCGAAAAGAACTGCAAACGGTAGAATTGTTTCTACACTTCCTTTAGAGGTACAATTCTTCCATGCTTGACTTTCTCTGACCATGAAGCTAACGTTATTTCAGCCACGTTTACTCAGGTCCCAATTAAAAATAAATAAAAATAAAATGCTGCAGGAGAGATGAGAAGATGTTCTGCTGAGGCTTGTTCTTTTTAATTGTTTCTGTCTTCCAATATCGCCTTCAAAAATAAAACCCACAGCTCTGCAGAACGCTAACTGATTGCTTACTTGGGTACGTACATCCTTAGTGGGCAGGCAGCAGGACGATGAGGAACAAATGATAATGCTCCCTGTAACCTCAGCATTAATGCACATAGCATAATAGATGGCTGGCCACTGCATTTGAAAAACAGTTCATGAAGCAAAGTAGAAATGATGGGTGTGCAGGATATAATTACAGCAGTAATGTAATAACATTCCATGTTAGATTATTAGGGGTCTATTCTGCCCTTGACATGCCTACATAACGACCATTAACGTTAATTGAGGTTATGCACGTGAATCAGCAACTGAGCAAATCACTAAATTAATTACATGTAAAGTACCTGTTTCATTTTTTTAAATCCACCAATACGTTTGGCCTGTGCAAATGCTTATAGTCTAGGAGAGAACAACCACAGTGTGGAGGAGAAGCCATGTGGAAAAGGCTGTGTGGTTTTTAAAACCCCATTATACAAAATTAAGTTTTGATAAATAGGTAAAGGATAGTAGGAATACTAATTCCTGGATGGGGCTTCCTGCACATCCTTCAGAAACCCCGTGGCTTTGTTTGAATAAACTAGGAGAGACTCCTGCTCTTCTGCAGCACCTCCTGCAGAGGAGGTTATCTGGAGCTTTTATAAACAAAGGTGTAAAATGCCGGCTCTGCAGGCAAAGGCGGCACCTACTGTGAGTGCAGCCATGGGAGCAAGAGCAGGCTTGGACAAGGCACAGAGCTACTATTTTCTTCTGCTTGGCAATTGCAACCCCCACTTTCTGTCGAGGCATGCTTTGATCAAGCAGATGTGATGACAAGGATCAGTGTGACAACAAAGTCTCTGCATACAGTGGAAGAAGTTTGGGCTTGAAATTCAAAGCCTGTGTTTCACTGAAGGGTCTTACTCTGCACTTATCCTGGAGTCTGAAGGATGGACGTTGATCTACAACAAATGGAATCACTCTCCTTTCCCTCCTTCTTCCTTTGATTTTTGGTCTGAGTGCTGAGAGCTGTTGAATTTTCAGTACTCCTGAGCAGTTAAAACCAGATGCAAAGGAAATTAAAGTGCCTCCTGGAGGAAGGAGGGGAGCAGTAAATAACCTCCGTCACCTGCACCTCTAACCTGCCTTCTTGTGATACTATAATTATAGCAGAGCTAGGTCGTCAGTCTTTTCCACCCCAGGAACTCCCTGGAATTCCCTTCTCAGTGAGCCAGGCTCTGGAAGGGATTCCCCCACCCATTCAGCAACCTGAGAAGGCCCAGATGGCCATAAAACCTCAGCACCTGTTTGTGTCCTCCACTGGGAGGGGGCACAACTACCCCACGTTGAGACTTCCTGAAATAGAGCAATATCCATGAAGCGACCAACAGAGACTCCCTCATTATAGATTAGAAAGGATGCCTGAGCTTTCAGACTTTTTATTTTGTGCGGAGTAAACAGCCTCTCTGGTTTCATCTGGACATGTCTTGAAAGAGCAGCTCTTGGAGTGGCTTTAGTTACAGTGAGCTCCACTGCCCCCACAGATGGCTGGTGGCCTGTTTCCCCATGTGTGCCTCGTGGCACTGGAGCATGCAAGCCACGCAAAGAGCCTTGGCTTCAAAGAGTTACGCTCATGGGCTCACTGCCTGTCTGACAGGCAAATGGGAACTTAAGTTTCACCTCAGACAGTGTAGACACAGCTGCTGAAGCAATGTGAAGCTAACCCTGGCCAGCTGCACTGCAGATGGTGTTGCCAGTTTAATTAGTAATAGCATTATTTTCTGTAATTCTAAACATATATTTATTAATACTCATTTATTTGCAATAAGATAAGGACTTTGAAGTCCCTTATCATCACTGGGGTATATAAACAGGACCAATTGGAAGCATAAGAAAGGTGTGTAATCACCTGTGCTGGTAGAATAGGGAGAGAGGTAAAATTTCAGCATTAAGGATGCATTAAGATGCTCTGGATGTCACTGCAGTGGACCTGGCCTGGTAGTGGCAATGACAGAGCTATTCCCACTGGCTCAATCTCTCCTCAGGAAAAGCAAGTAGAATCATAGAATCATAAAGTCATCAAGGTTGGAAAAGACCTCTAAAATCATCCAGTCCAACCATCCACCTATCACCAATTCTAAACCACATCCCTCAGTACAACATCTAAGCATTTCTGGAGCGCAATGTAGGAGTGATGGCTTCACTGCCTCGGTGTCTGGTTTACCTCTCTCGCTCTCTCACAGATATAGACAAACAAGCTGTGCAGGAGGCATGCTTCCCAGGAGCTGGGAAATTGAGGTAGCACAGAATAAAGGTGTCTAGAGTTGGGCTGTGCTCTTCCCCTCTCTCTGCTCTCTAGCATGTGGCTCAGTGTTGTCCTGTTGGAACCAGCAAAGGTGGAGAAGTGGAGGGAGAGGGCTTCAAAGGAAAGGAATCTCATCAGCAGGACCATAGCAGCCAACAGTGTGACTTGGCAACCTGTGCTCACTGCCTCACGATGCTCAAGAGATTGTGCTTCAAACAATGGCTCTGGTACCATGGGCTGAACAAAGAGTGAGAGCAGGTGCTCTAAACCCAAGATGTCCTGACACCTTACACGTACCAGGCTGAGAACACGGAAGCCATGATGAGGAAGGGACTGGCCTCCACCTCACAGTGAAAATGCCACCACAGAGAGAAGATGAGGGTACAAATAACAGATGGTTAGATGCCAAACAAGAATTTTGATGCGTAATTTCACAATTTCACATTTAATAATATTGATCTATGTATTTACTTGAGAAACCAAATGGCCTGTTCATCCCTTGGTTTTATCTGGTTAAGTTTACAAAGGTCTCCGAGAGGCATTTAAGGTTATTCATGTCATAATGGCCGAGCTTCATCACCTGATGTGCATGTAGATCCTGTTCCCACTGTAATTGAGATTCAGGGATATCAGAAAACGGAACTCACCTCCAGCAAGTCACAGAATCACAGAGAATCACGGAATGGCCAGTGTTGGAAGGGACCTCAAGAATCTCCAATCCCACCCCCCACCACTGGCAGGGCCACCAACTTCCACATGTAATACTAGACCAGGCTGCCCAGGGCAGGCCTTGAACACCTCCAGGGATGGAGCATCCTTTATTCCTCCAACACCTCCTGCCTTTCTAAGGCATCATCTACATACACAGGCTCTGTGTAAGCACACTGGGGCTGACGGTTAAATATGCCTGTATCAAACACCCAGGAGCTGGAAATTTTACATTGTAATTCCACAACTACTGATTAACTGGCCCAAATTCTTCCCTGTTTTATTAGAAATTGCACATTATTGGGGTATCTCCTTTTGCATTACAGACTGTATTCCTAAATATTCTGTTCCAGCTTGCTTTCTTTAAAAAAGTTCTGGGCCAGGAGAGAAGTTGTAAATAACAAGAGGAAATATGGCAGCTCAGCAGCTGCACACAGAGCCAGCCAAATCAAGGCAAAATTGCACGATTCAAGCGTTCGTTCAAGTGTTCACACTTAGACAGAGGCAAAGAGAAGTGGGCCATACCTCCTTCACACCGGAGCTGTCGCTGAATTTAGGAGACGCTTTTCACATGATTAAATCAGCACCTCTGCGCACGGTGACTGCAACGTGTAAGGAGGCGGCTATGCTAGAAAAGAGACGCTTTTCCCCATTTTCCGCCGCGGGCTCCGCGCTGCCTGAGCCGCGGCCGCCACCTGCTGCCCCGCCGCCGCGCTGCAGCCACCCGCCCTGCCCTGCCCGGCCGAGGGGCGGCCGCCAGCCCCAGCTCCCCGCCCGCGTTGAGGCAGGCGCGGCCGCCATGTCGGGCGGTGCCCCCAGCGTGCGTGTGGCGTGCAGGCACGGGCGGTGGCGGCGGGCTGCTCTGAGGGGCCCTGGTGGGCGGGAAACGGCCTGAGGAGCGGGCGGATTTTTATGAGAGGGGAATGTGTTCAAGCACAAGTTGCAGTCAATGAGAGGCGAGGAGCGGGGTTCTCTCTGTCTTCAGTGGCAGACAAGGGTTTAACAGGGCCTGGCCACTGAGAAGGAACATCACTCACCACCACCCAGACTCCTGAGGGAGGCAGGTGCTGCTGCCATGTTGAGGTGCTCAGGCTGTGCCATGCTCCAGGCTCAGACCCCTTCCCGAGCTCCCCAGCCACCCCTCTCCTCTGCTCTATGCTCTGTGTGCTGCAGCCCCCAGCACACGTCCCCTTGCTGTCCCAGCAGTCCCTGTCTGTCTGCCCATCTGCAGCCTCAGCAGAGCGTGTCCTACCTATCTCTGTGCCCTCACTGCCATCCATGAGGGCCAGCTTCCCCTCTCCTGGCTTGGCCTTTCAGGTGCAGCAAGGGGCCTGGCAAAGCCCAGTGAATAGGATCTGCATGGCATAAAGGAGCACAGAGTTGCAGCCGTGCAGTGGAGGGATGTGATCTTGGAGCTCAGGAGTGCTCTGGTGCTGGGTAGCCTGTGGTCTGCCCGTCAGTCTGGCATTTTCATAACAAATCCCATGAAAGGTTGAGCCAGCTGAAGCAAAGCAAAATCTTGCTCTGGTATTTGTCAGCTGATTTTAGCTTGTGAATTAAGCCCGCAAGTGAGAGACTCTCCTGAGGGTCTTTGAGCAAGAAATGCCTGATACAAGGCAAATAGTGCTAACGTATGGTTAGGAGTAACTGGCATATGCCCAGAATCCCTGCCACATTCTTTTTTCACCTACCCTTACCTTTCTTACTATTCATTCCACTTTGCTTTGCTTGTTAAGTGTTACTGATGTTCATTTCACAGACAAATCCCAGACTGATGTAAATCACACCACATCACTGCAATGCCCTCTCACATCCTTTCTCTTTAAACAGTGTAGCCACAAAGTGCTGTCTGGCATTTCCAAATAGACGTCAGTCCTCTTGAGATGGGGATTTACTTCTTCTCCACTTTTTGGCATACTAAGTCAATGACAGATAATGACTGTTGCAGCAATCAAACAGTACGCATAGGTTGTAATGATTGAGTGACTTTGAGCCAGAGCATGGGAAGAGGCAAGTTGAGGACTGAAGTTTTACTCACCGAGGATCTTCCTTGGAAATGAAGTAGAAGGATTTAAATGGTTTCGCCTATCACTGCTTTGTTCATAACAACAACAGCTAGGGTACAGTCCTGTGGGTTTTAGAAAAATGAAATAAGGCTTAGCAGAATTCTTCCTTGGTTAGAAAATATTTATTCCTCTGTATCTGCATTGATTACCTTTAGGTATGAACAGCAACGCCACTCTTATCCTTCAAATGTTCGTTCTAGTCAATAACAAAATTAATTTGTATACCAACAAATCACAGCTATCCAGGAGAGCAGTGAGCTCAGTATATAATAGAGATGAGAGTTTTGGCAAAAGGGAGAGTGTAGAAACAGCCCTGCTTATAAGAATTATTGATAAAAGAATTATATCTTTATAGAATCCAATTCTGTATCTTGAAGCATTTTATACACTTAGTCTTCAGTGAAAGCAGCAACCATCTGAATGACTGCTGTTTGGTGAAGAAAATTGATTTTAAAATATCTTATTTCGTTCATGATTTTAATTTATTTATTTATTCATTCATTCATTTGGTACTAAAGTAGCACCCAGAGTCTGTAGCACAGATGCAGGTTCCTCTGTGGTAGGCACTGGGTAAACCCGCACCAAAGGAGCACCAAGGCTGTGGCCCTTTACAGCCATCACCCAGGATCTGGTTTCTAAAGCACACAGCTCAAAGAGATGTATGTATTTATATATTATCGAATGATTGCTCTAAAGCTGATGCCTGAGATAAAAGCATCTATATTTAGTCTCAGTAGGCTCTCAAGCACCAAAAAGTACCTTAAGAAAGCTCAGTATCCACACATAGAAGGCTGATTCGCTTAAAATCCAAATCCAGCCTTGAGCTGCCAGTGTTACAGGCACAATGAATCTGAGCAGCTCACAGTAGGAAAAGAATTGTTATAGAGGGTATATAGAGGGTATGGGAAAGGTGACATGCCATCCACATGCCAGACATGCCTTTCAGACTCTGCCTGTACTAACTGAAAGTTGGGAGGAAACAAGGAAATGCTGGCAGTTTGCAGGGGTGGGATAGGTTCCCAATACCTTACCTGACTGAATTTAAGAAACAGGCTGTATGGCAAACACTCACTGGTTCTTCTCCAGTGGTGCAGTGAGCAGGCAACTTTCCCTCCCTGCGGGCAGCATCTGCTGAGTGACGTGGAGCACAGGAGCTGCAGAAGGGAGGAACAACTAAAGAGCCAGTACCACAAGAGGCACAAAGAAAGATGCATTGGGACTCTCACAATCCAGAAGACTTTACACCATTCTGAAGTAGGTAAGTTGGACACAGAAGTGGTAGGAAAAAAAGTTTTATTCTCCTGATATAGCGCATGTGGAATTGCCAATGCAGGAAAGTAAGATGTTGAGAAACAACATTACCACCAATCACAAATGTGACATTGCCAAATTTTTGGCTGCTCTAAACCAGCACAGCTACCCTGAGTTACATAAACCAGCAGCTGGGTCAGGAACTAAACCTTAAATCAGGGAAACCAGAAAATTCTGGGAATGCAGACATTTCATCGTGCCTCACCCCATCGGTCTTTTGTTAAATTTTTTTTTACTTTTTTTTTTTTTTTTTTACATTTGCCCAGAAAACATGCCAGCGTGTCTTTCACAGCGCTCTGATGAAGAAAATTCAAGCTGCTCTGCCTGATATTAAAAGAATTAGCTTTTGGTAGTATTTGGATGCTGTCCAATTGCTAAACTGTAAAGTGCAGTACGTAACACAAGCACAGCTTGAAGGGTAAGCAGCAAAAGACAGATGAAAATGAAAGTTATCAACAGGAATAAAAGAACATGCAAGCAGAAAGCAGCAGGAGAAATACACAGTGTCTGAGAATGGAGAGAAATGCTTTAACGTGCTTTAACAGTGGTATTAGTGATTTAAACACAACCACACAATGAAGTTCAGTATTAGCACCATGATGAACTGGAAGTGGAAGAACGAGCTTTGGAGTGAATAGAAGCATAGCATGTGGCCAAATGTGTGATGATGTGCAAATTGAGAGTCTCCTCACCTGAAACATGTTAGATGCTGAAGAACAATGCTAGCCACTTAGTCGAGTGATGAAATCAAAGTTGCAACATGTAAGATTAATGTATATTAGAGGAAATAGCTTCTCATGCTGTTAGAAAGATCATGGTCTGGTTATAAAGCACTCAGTGGTGCAATCTCCAGGTATTTATCATTCCAACACATCCAATTAACAAAATCGTATTCAAGTGTTAGTAATTAAGTGCAGGATATTAACCTTAAGCTTTGAATTTCCCCAGATATTGTCAGTTTGAACCTGACTCTTGGCATTATGATAGCGTGTTTTCACTTTTAAAAGGAATGATAAGGTCCTAGGAATATCACATCAGCCTTCATAATGAGGGAACCATAAAAACAGGGCTGGAAGGGACCTTGCGAGGTCACCTAGTCCAGCCCTCTGCCCTAAGGCAAGATCAATTATACCCAAATCATTTCTGACAGATGTTTGTCTAACCTGTTCATAAAAACGTCTAGCAATGAAGATCCCACAACCTCCCCAGGCAATCCATTTCACTCCTTCACTCCAGTTACAGCTGGAAAGCCTGTCCTAATGTCTTCCTTAAATTCTCCTTTGCTGCCATTTAAACCCATTAGCTCTTTTTCTATTCCCGATGGACACAGAGAACAGTTTATTACTTTCCTCTTTGCAGCAAGCTTTACATATCTGTGTCACATTCTTATTCCTTCCTCAGCATCTCCTTTTTCTAGATGTAGAAACCCAGTTCTTTCAGTCTGTCCTCACAAATCATGTTTTCTACGCTTGTGATCAATGCCATTACTTTCTGTTGGGCATTCAAATTGATGTACATCTTTCATTTTTCAAGTACAGTGTACAGAAGTGCACACATTACTCCAGCTAGGGTCTGGAGCAAAGAATAACCAGGGTAGGATTGCTTCATTTTTCTTCTCTGTGACAAGTCATTTACAGAGCCAAGTCACAAGTCACAGTCTGGATGAAATGGGAACTGTATCTTCTCAGCTCCAGCTTGGCTTGTTGTCTAGAAAGAAAGTTCCATCTCTATTTATCTTATACAATCTTGAAACATTTTACAAGGGACCAAGTATTTTTATTTTCTGCTCTAGAGGCTGATGAATGTCACCTTCCTCCAATTTTTATTTTTATGATATTTATACTAATTTGGCATGATTAAAAATTAATACTGGAATACTCACTAGCTTAAAGGAGCAAGTCTTCTAATTCCCATCAAACTTGAATGCACAAACTCCACAGGTGCCTTTGAAAATCCCTGCTCTGAATGTTGTTGTCCATTGGATAAACAACTCAGACATCACTGGCTTTCTACACAAACACAGCCTGCCTGGAATAACTTATGAAAATCATAAAATTGATTTAAGCTCTGTTCAGTGCTTCATAAATTTTATGCAATCCTTAAATTATAAAACTGCTGCTGCTGTGGCACTGATCAGAACAATGCTTTATCTCTTCTCTAGGGATAGTTGGCATGTCAGAGGAGAACAGAGGAGACCGAGGCAGCTGAATTGTTTGTTTCTATTTAACAGGGCAGAATAAAACAGCCTGGATGCCAGGGCTCTAGTTCCACC